GTGCTTTTGAAATTTTATCTGTCGATTGTATCTTGGCATTTCAGACAGGCCATTTGTTAGGAGCTGGAGGGAAGGAGGGCTTTTACGCATTTGACCTGGTCATCAAACTTGATGGGTCAACAACCCCATCGTGTTGTAGAAGTATGTAACTTTAAGACGATATCGAGATATTTAGTTCTCGTTTTTATCCATAGGAATCTACACCTTGGAACGAGGAAATAGCTTCACTTGAAGACTGACCGATAGACTGATATTTTTTCTTTAATTTTGAAATATTTTGTTTTGACGTTCAAAAGTGCCTTATAAGTCTAATTGAAATAAATGATTTTGACTTTGACTTTAACTTTGACTTAGTAAACACGGATAAAAATTTCATATATCTTACTTTTAGCGTTATTCCTTGATCTATATAGATTGTAGATCGCATGATCTCCAAGTTGGTTTTATCTAAAATCTGAAGAAAAATCTAAATAACTGAATTAAAAAAGTTTCCATCTACAGTGGCAACTTAAGCAATGAAAAAGAAAATATCTTTATTAATTTTTTAGCAGTGAAAGTGGACGACATTGGCTCGTATTAGGGGAAGTCCCATATACATGAATTCTAGGTATATTTCTGAACCAAATAAAATGAATTTTGCACGGACATTATTACCGCATTCCGATTTAAAAATGTACGATTATAAATAAGTGGAAAGTACTCAGTATTTTTAATGTGATTTCTTTGTTTCATGCTATTTTTCTTTCTTCTTGTATGTGACGTAAACTGAGTTCAAAGAACTCAACTGATACTGGCGGATATGAATTCGAATCCTGGTTTAATCATTTTTATCTTTTAATAAATGTAAACGATACTTGCATTGATTATTTTAATTGTATGTTGTTCATTCTCCTGTTTTTGAAAAACTCTGTAATTGGCTTAAGGATTCCATGACTTGTTATTATTATACATGTCATCATCATCATCATCATCAACAGCCTATAAGTATCCACTGCTGATCAAAGGCCTCTTCTCAAACGCAAAAGGTTTGAGCATTAATCACCACGCTTGCTCAATGCGGGTTGGCGATTACAAACTTATAATTAGAAATTATAAGCCTTGGTACTTGTAATTAGGAAAAAGTCATTTTTTTTAAGGGGGACCGTCATCGAATGACTTCTCTCGCCTTAGTGTCAGACTCTTACTGACTAAAAACTACCCCGTTCCTTCTCCTGCACGTCGAGCCGGAGCCCCGGTAACCCGTTAGGTTCTCCGCGGCTCCGTATCGGCATCAGCCCTATTGGGCCCCATCCGTGGTGATTGGTACCTACTTATCTCTCTACCCTGCCGTTGGTTCAATCTCGTTCATGAGGAGCGGCGTATTAAATCATATTATATAGGTACACTTTACTAAACAAGCTATTGAATTTATAAAAACATTAATTCTTTAGCATAGGAATAAGAGAGATTGATGTTCGGAACAATCTTTAATTCAATTTCCAAATAAATAAAACACAAATAAATACTAAGACCTGCCTCGTTGGCCGAGTGGTCACAAGGGCGACTGCCGGGCAAGGGGTCTCGGGTTCGTTTCCCAGGTCGGGCAAAGTATTATTAGGTTTTTAAAAAATTCTCAGTAATAGCACGGAGTCTGGAATTGTGCCCGGTATATGGCAATAGGCTCATCCTCTATTACATGGGACTCATAACATAAATAGTGAAAAGTTAGTGTTACATTGTACAATGGCATAATGTGCACTTCTGCCTACCCCTTCGGGGATAAAAGACGTGATGTTATGTTATGTTAAATACTAAGAATTATATATGTATCCTATAGTCCAATGATTCATATTTATTTTTAAGTATACACTTATCCTTACTTGGTTTAAAGTACAGTCTTTAATGGATTCTCAACTGTCATGAGTTTAAACAAGTTTATATATAAAAATTACTTAACGTTACATAATATCTATAGGCATTATATCATGTTAAAATGTATATTATATAATGATTTAGAGGTCAATTGTTTAAAGGTTAACGATTCTAGTTAAAAAATTAAAAAAGTAAATAATTATGTATGTGTTTTTGCTACCAACTAATACGTACACAAATTAATTTACCTCTATTTAATTTGAGTATTGTAATTAAATTAACATAATGTAATTATAGCTAATTGTGTTTGTATTATATTTGTTTTTGAATATACTTAACAAGTTATTTAGACACAATTTTAATACTAGACGCAAAAATAAGTTAGCTATACCGCAATTCAGACTGTCCAAGGTACACAAATCCTTTACGGGGTATGTATTAAATGCTATAATAAAATACCAAGTAGCATACTAGATCTTATTGAAAGTACATTTAAAACATATATTAAGCGCGAATTATGTAATCAAGCCTACTACACACTGACAGATTATCTTGAAGATAAGAATGCTTGGCAGCATGTTGGTTCGGCTCCACTGGACAATACTCGAATGTAGTCAGTAGCTAAATTCCAATAGTAGGTAATTTAAAACATAATTTAACACTAATCTAATCTAGTTTCTTTATGGCATCGAGCATTTCTTTCTTTATTGAAACAAAGAGTTTTCTTTTTCTTGTTTATGCACTATTTTTATGAATTGTCAGTATGCATATGTGAGCACCATGTTATATCCATTTATTATTTATTTATAAACAAATTCTTTACCAACACTTGCAGCGCTTTTATAATATTTCCGCTTGCATTTTTCTCAAAACAATTTTCTAATTGCAAGTAACGCTGAGGTCAATAACGTGTGATTCACCATTAAAACTACTTTATGAAACCCTTAATCGCTTGATGATCAGACAGAACAACGTCCTTTAGCCAAAAATTATCGAAAAACTTCACAAAATACAAAAACCAAAAAGTTAAATAATTTTTTTGAAACTTCATTTTGAATGGTGGTCTTTTGTATAAAATAGAATAAATTGTATATGATTCCCAAGCAAGGGGTATCAGTTTCCATTCCTGGGTAGGATAAAGTGTTATTGTGTTTTTTTGGCTTCTTGTTCTCTATAGAAGCACAGAGGCTGTAATGTGGTGTGTAAAATAGTTTCCCTTATTGCGTGGGAGTCATAACATAATTGGTGAAAAACGTACGAAAAACTACAGATTGTAAGTGTGCACAGTGCCCGCTTACTTCATCTTTTCTAGATCAAAATACGAGATTCAAGTTCGCAATTAGTTTTTATAATAAAACACTAATGGCACCCAATTATGTTAAACAAAAATAATATCTAAATGTGGCCTAGACGTAATATGGCGTGCGACTTTTTACACTCCGCACGTCAATCGACATTGACGTGTCAGATTTTTGAAATATCAAGCTGCTAGACAGATTATAGTGTGTAGGTATAGTAAAAACATGTATAATAAAAATTATTTAATTTTAATTAACGCATTGTTTTATACTTACTTATTTTGTCTAACAGATTTTAAATTTTCTTGAATTACTTAAGTTTTATATTTGGAATTTCTTTTTTTAATTTATTGAATAGGCTTTTTTAAGGGGATGTCATCGAATGACTGCTTCCGCCTGGGTGAGGCGGAAGGGAGTGTCAGACTCTTACTGACTAAAAACCACCCCGTTCCTTCTCCTGCGCTTCGAGCCGGAGCCCCGGTAACCCGTTAGGTTCTCCGCTACATTTAATGGGCATTAAGGTAATAATTAGATGATTCAATAACTTTGGAATTTTTGAAAATTTTATGGCAGTTCATTTTGTGTGAAGTTATTATATATTTCTAAATATTCAATTGGATGGCACTACTATGAATCGACTTAACGGCCTTTAATTTCTATGACAGCTAATAATTTATAGGCATAGAGGATTGGCATCGATTTTTTTTTTCTGTTGTTGTTGGAGTTTGAACCGACCTAGCGTGACGGTCAATCATGTACGCAGTTTGGGACTAAAACTAATCAATCAAATGGAAGTGGTAAAACCCCTGAGTATTTCCGTAGTCTTCGAATAATTGCATAACACTACATAAGTGTGGGAGGGTCACGCTTCGTCACCAATGGGCTGGGTCGACTGGAGTAATATCACGGCCTCATAGAAAACCGACGTGAAACAACGTTTGTGTTGTGTTCTGTCGAGTCAGTGAGGTTACCGGAGGCGCATATACACCCCTTCCTCCCCAGTCTCTCCAATCCCCGCATTCCCTACAATCGTCAAATTCTTAATTCCCAAAAGGCCGGTAACGCATTTGTAACGCCTTTGTTATTGAGGGTATCCATAGGCGACGCCCATTGCTTACCATTAAGTGATCCGTCTGCTCGTTTACCGGCTTATTCCATAAAAATATCACAGTACATTTTATTCCACGACGAATCGTACATCTCAAATCTAACATCACTTTTCACTGCTATAAAAAACTTCATCACATTTGCTAAGCACATTTTGATTTTGAAGCTTCGTACTAGTTATTATTATGAGTATCGAAAGCCAAAAAGATCAATAATACTTTCACCAACCTCTACATCCAATCCAAAATGTCTGGTAATGGCGCTGGAGACCCATTTGGCCATCAAGAAATACTTCACACTATAAAATATTCACAATATTTCCTGAATAGTGTAACCCGGGTGTCTTTGAAGTCGGAGTAAATAGATTGCTTACGAGTAAACGTGCTCCGTCATAAAAGCCATATCATTGCTTACCATTTCTATATATAATTGATGGGCCGTTTGACCACTACCTCGCCTGGTGGTAAGCGATGATACGGTCTACGATGGAACATGTCGTCCCATAAGCAACCTATTCACTCGGGCCCTTCAGGAAACACAGACTCTGGCAAAGAATTCCACTCCTTAGCAGTACGCACAAGGAAGCTTGATGCGAAGCGCTTCGTGCGTGTGGGTGGGACATCTACCATGAATCGGTGACGCTTCGCCGATTGTCTTGTAGTACGATGATGGAAATTATGACTCTTTAACTTCTTGACATATTTCATTCATTCTACAAAGTACAACTACTGAAAGTAAGCTCACCTGTATGAAGTAGGGTACAAATCCACGAAGTACGACGAGATGATTCCGAAGACCATGGCGGTGGTGAGGAAGATGTAGAAGAGGACCAGCCCTGATATGGCTTCACCAGTGTTGTTGATGCCGACGCCTGCTGCTGCAGCTATCAGCAAGATAACGATGGTCATTGGCTGTTGAAGATATTGAAAGAATGCTTTAACTTTTATTGTACACAAAATAAAATACGGGTACCTTAAGTAGACTTATGGCCGGTTTCACCATTCACCCGTAAGACAGTCTCTTAACTAAGAGTTAATTAGCGTGAGGGAGGACCTAAACTAATCTCTTACCTGTATATGGTTAAGTGTTCCGTACGGGTCGATCAAAACCAAAATGTCATTAAGTGTTATCTAGTTTAGAATAGGGGCTCCTTAAGAGAGATTTCTGAAAACATCCTTTAGCGTCCTGACAGTAAAACTATGAGTGATCGTTTTTTTTTTAAATAAGTGCACTCCATTATTAAATTTAGGGTGCAAGTGGATCGCTTGATAGTTAGCGACCGGTACCGCCTGTGGGCAGTACTGGATACAAGTCCGTTCTTGATATTTGCCAAGTCTCAATTTATTTATTTATTTATTTTTACAGTCACAACGGCATAAACATCCAATAACAGTAACTGATACAACAATAAAACACAAACAAAAGAAAAGTAAAACTTAGTTAAAACAAGGGTTAACACCATTCATGAGTTTCTCTCGCAGTACTTCAAGCATTCGGATAAAATCTCCTTCCATCCGTCCGCGAACAGATCACTAGTTGGATTGGAATCCAGGAGATCATTGAGCGCGGCCAGAGTGCGAGGAACAGGTGAATTAGCGCGTGCGACGGTACGACATGAGGGCACGGCAAACAGCCTGTGCTTTTTACCCTGGCAATAGTTATCTGGGACGTAAAAGCGCGATAATGACTCCATTAGATCTGGAGCATCAATAGTGCCACGGAATGTTTTACAGGCTACTGCAAGTTGGTTTCTTGCCCTCCTTACCTCCAGGGAGTTGTAACCAAGACTACCTAATGAAAATTTTGTCGGATAAAATCTATCAACCTTGAACGTCCTCATTTTGGATCATGGCATAACCTAAGTTAATTTTTATAGAAGCCGTATTATTTAATGGCCATTACTTAAGTCCAAATCATTAGCAAAACTCGTTTCAAGGTGACTTACCAATATAGGGTCAGTAGAACTAGTGACCAACCGGTCGTAGTTTGGGTTCGATTATAAATCCGCCTTGTAATGTTAACGTTGGAATAGTGAACTGGTTTAATAAATCATTCCTTGGGCTAGGTTTCGAAGTCTTTTGTAATCGGTATCAAAGTATTTATTGTTACACCTAATAGGTATATGCCCCCGCTTACTCCACTAAACTTGACTGCCTCGTTGTCCGAGTATTCGCAAGTGCGACTGTTGGGTATGGGTTCTCAGGTCGATTACCGGGTCGGGCAAAGTATTACTGGGTTTTAAAAAAAAATCTCAGTAGTAGCACGGAGTCTGGAATTGTGTTTGGTATATGACAATAGGCTCACTCCCTATTACATGGGATTCATAACATAAATAGTGTAAAGTGGGTGTTACATTGTAGAGGTACAGTGGAATTAGGTGGCGTAATGGGCACCTCTGCCTACCCCTTCAGGGATAAAGGGCGTGATGTTATGTTTATTTGTTACTTCACTGGAGATTAATAGATGGCGTGACGTTTAGGTACTATAAAATATTTTTTTCATATGCTCAATGTCGTGATTCAATCGGCATGGCTGTTATATGTATCTTCGTCACGAATTTGTAATTAATCAATTAATTACGCATAGGCCTACGTACCATTGAAATAAATATGTTATCCTTGACCATAACATAGCTTAGTGTCACACCTTTATTCCTCAAGAAGAATTTGCAGAGAATAAAGTCAAAGTCAAAATACAAAATCAATTATTTCAATTAGACCGGGAAGGTTCCTTTGAACGCCAACAAAAAAAAAAATATAAGAAAAGCTATTTGCTCATTCCAAGGTGTACATTCCTATTGAAAAGAACGAGCAAGAAACTCCATAATAATTATGTACCCACATTCCGCATTTATAAGTCCCATTTTACAAATAGAGCGTAAGCAAATCGCTTAAAACAATGTTTTTCTAATCGAAATACCTATCAAAGTAATTGAACCAAAGACCAGTACAGTACTATTTATGCATTACATTTCATGGGAATTATAAATTAATTAATAATGTTTAACGGTTTGGCGTGATAACTTTACTAGTTTGAAATTTCACTAGGGAATCATGTTCATGCTCATATATCATATAATTAATGAATTCAAAACTTGTACTGTTAAACGAATTCTTTCTACTGTTAAAATGTTATTTAATATGGTTACCTTTCTCTTCCCAGCAAACTGCGAGATGAGAGCATTGAGCAGGAAGAATGACATGCCATGAGCACAGCCTGCCCAGATTGTGTTGTCCTCGATGCTGTTCTTGCAGCTGGTCGGCTCCTGGAAGAAGATCATTGTGAACCAGGGAAGATAAGGCGGTACGATTTTATGGTGGTATAAGGGCTCGTACACAAAACTGCGATGCGCATTTGCAACGCAGAAAATGACGATGCGAATTGCTGCAATGCAATTTCGTGCGACAAGGCGTCTTTCAGGGTGACCTTTCCTTCGATGACCGTCAACTGTACTAAACGTATTTTAAATTGAAAACTAGGTCGTGACATGGATCGTAAAAAGAAGTGTGCACTTCTGTTATTGCTTACAGATACAGGAAAAAATAAGATTGTGGGAAGAAATGATTTGATGCGCGATGCGAATCAATTCGCAAGTTCTTGCGATGCGCCGTCGTACGCAGTTTTGTGTACGAGCCCCAACTGAACTATTTTATTTATTTAATGATCTACTGAGGAAGTCCCAAAGAGATTCTTCCGCAAAATACTAGCATAGAGTGGTGGCATACGGTGGCAGCGTTTCGTCTAGAAAGTGAGAGTCCTGGATGCTCAACCCTTTGTTTGATTACACCAGCATTTGGGATAGCCCTTCTCCTCCGTGTAAATAGTTTTCTACATGGTCAGATATGCGTTTGTTAAACAACGATATCCTAGTTTATGTTACCAATTCATAACTATGATCTAAATGATGAACTGACCATCTCCACATCACTAGTAGTGGTATTGCTGAGATGGAATAAGTCGCAGAAGGACGCATCAGCTGCACTGGTGGCGTACGATGTGAAGAATATGTTGAAGATCGTCGGCAGGATGATGGCGAAGCTGTTGTTACTGGAACAGAAATACAATGATTATAAAGATTGTTCATTAAAAATGGTTTATATAACTTTATAGATTGAGTTGAACCCTTTGGAAAGAACAAAAAGACCAACATACATTTTGAAATGGAGATTGCCTCTTTAAATGAAATTAGTATCAAGACTTTGAACCACAAGAAAGATAATAAGTGTTCGATTCAGTTCTCCTTGGAGAGGCAGTTGAAGCAGCTATTATAATAATAATTGCTTCGCCGCGGCACACTGTAGCAGCGATGGAATTGGTCGATTAAATCTTTAAAAAAGTGTATCAATATACTTACGCGATATAAGTGACAAAGGTGAGGTAATACAACAAGGCAGTCTTCCATAGCAGAGGGGGTTTGAAGAGGGGCGCTATCTGGGTCCAGAGAGAGTGGAGGGAGAACACTCCAACTTCCTCTTTGTTACCGTCCTCGAGGTAGATTTGTTTCACCTAGAAGTAAGAAGTATTTTAACCTCAATTAAATTATTTTATTATTAAGGTTGAACTAACTAACAGGGTTAACTAGTGATAAGCGGATATTACGTTAAATGTGTGTATCTTTATCAACTTTAAGCACTTTACTCAACTTTACGTACTTTCAAATTTTCTAATTTAAACTATGTTATGCATCAATTACAGCCACATGGACTAATCTATAAATAAATAAATATAAAATAACTAAAAGTGTAAAATGTACCAGTTTGCAAGTGGTTTATAAGGGCGTAATTGCTATTTAATACAATCAGGCACCAAAGTAAATAACTGGTATAACTTCATAAATAACCTAGTTCTGCCTATCCCAACCACAACCCAGGTAAGAATTCTAGTGTGGTTTAAAAAAATATAAACTTACAGGAAACGCATCCCCATCATGTCCATTAGCCACGTAGATTCTCTTCAGCACCTTCACAGCCTCCTCATTCCTCCCCACATTGGCCAGGAACTTGGGACTCTCGCTGAAGTACCACAGGAGGAGGGCACTAAGCCCCAGTGGCAGTGCCATGATGAGGGTCAGGAGACGCCAGGGTCGGTACTCGATGCCAAGGAGGTAGTAGGTGAAGTCCAGCTTCATTATGAGGTAGGCGGTTACTGGAAGAAGAAATTTTATAAAATGAGGTATTTTCTAAGGGAAATCAATAACAATCAATTGGGATAGGCAGAAGTGCACTTTGCCTACGGCACTTAACACCACTGTACTATGTAACACCCACTTTTCACTATATACATATATTATGAGTACCATGTAATAGGGGGTAGAGCCTTTTGCCATATACCGAGCACAATTCTAGACACCGCGATACTACTGAGCATTAAAACGAAAATGATTACTTTAAATTAAAAGAGAAACCTAGTAAAACAGGCAAACAATCCTACAATTCAGTTTGAAATATAGCGGATGAGGTTTAAGTTCTACTTTAGGGCAGACTTTCATTTTAGTGTCATTTTTGTAAATATGTGGATCACACAACGAGTTGTTCCGTACGGGAATCGAACCCGCTACACGTTGCATGGCAGCCGGTGGCCCAACCACCTTGCGAACTGTGCAGAAAAAAATAATGTGTATATTATTATCTAATGATCATCAGATCTTCCTTTAGATTCATGTGTCGAAACTAAATAAATTCTATTATTTGCCTGATATAGGTAATAAACCGACTAATTATCTGACTATCTACTCTTGAATTGATTACTTACTATAATACAGGGTAGGTGTGATCATCAGTGCGCTGGTGATGAGCAGCATGTACTTGGCTCTGACCTTGACGCCGCAGCACTCTCCAATCAGGGCGTAAGTAGCCGACTCCGCTGCACTTGACCTGGCGGAAGGAGGGTAAACAAAAATAGAAATGGCTTAAATCTTCCTCGAGACTTCTATTACGACTTTAGTATTCGTAGTAGTCCATGTTCTATGTCGGAATGTTGTAAAGTGGTTTTAAAAGAAACAATTAGGTTCAGTTGCATCGGCGAATAAATGTTAAGGTAATATATACCTACATTAAGAAAAATTTTGAATTTCCAATCTTTCCATTGAATGGTCGTTATTTTATGTATGACATTTCATAATGCATTTAACAAGGTACTAGTTTTGACCACCATCGATATCTCAATCAGAAACAAGTAAAAGATTAAAATTGAAGTTATTGCTATGAAAAACTAATTAGGCGCTGTTACTAAAAACTCAAACATCATACTCACAATGCTGAACTAATAAACCTCAGAGCTGCCAGCACCTGCCAGGATGGAGACAGGCTGCTGATGGCTGAGCTGATGAAGCTGCCGCTCATAGCCCACATCAGCACCAGTCTCCTGCCCCTCGTGTCAGACAGGTAGCCCCAAGGGTACGACATCACAATTATACCTGGAAAATAGGATTATTTTTATTAATTCGCGCTCCATAAACAAGTCAAATGGTAATAGTAATTAGAGAAGACAAAAAAAATAAATAGGTTCATCATTTTCTTTAGTAATTTTACGAAATACATACAAAAAAAAGACAGCAATAAGCTCCTAAGTAACTTAATGTTGCAAGAGTCTCGATTACAATTTTCATTAATTTTAAACGTAGGCGATTTAACTCTACCAATATTCTTAAGGTACTGTTTCAAAGTTACGACTGTTCGGCAGTTACGACTGCCTCGTTGGCCGAGTGTTCGCCCGTGCAACTGCCGGGCAAGGGGTATCGGGTTCGATTCTAGGGTCGAGCCAAGTATTACTTGAGTTATTAAAAAAATTCTCGGTAGTAGCACGGAGTTTGAAATTGTGCCCGGTATATGGCAATAGGCTCACCCCCTATTACATGGGACTCATAACATAAATAGTGAAAAATGTAAACAGTAGCATAATGTGCACCTCTGCCTATTCCTTCGGGGATAAAAGGCGTGATGTTATGTACGTCAAAAAAAAAGTCATAAATAATATGTACTGTTTCAAAATCACAAGCTTTCATCACTTTTGTATCGTCGTGTCATATCGTGTCATTTCAAAGACTTGCAGTTCAACGAATTGGTAAGCGATAAACATCGAACGAATCCCTGCGACCCTTCTCAGATCGTCAGTGGTTTTAATAGACGTTGTCATTATTATGCAATATCTGAAGCTTACCAGCAAAAGACATGGACGATAGTATCCCAATCTGACTCAGGGTCAGGTTGAGGTCGCAGGTGGAAGCAGTGACAATGATGCCTAACCCGAAGATGTCGATGCCCATGGCGATGATCAGCACGAAGCAGGTTAAGAGCAGACCGTAGTTGTACTTCCCATGTCCTGCAGAGGAGAGAGGAATTAGAGCATGGTTTTAGGAATTCCTTTTCTTTACTGTTCTGATCTACAATTAGTCGTCGAACTCTGATCAGATGCCTTATGAGAATAATGATATTTTAAAGCGTAATAGGCCATTGCCCACTCAAAGCCCGTGGTTTCTTTTTTAGCCTTTTTAACCGACTTCAAAAAAAGAAGGAGGTTCTCAGTTCGACCTAAATATTTGTATGTATGTATGCACTAGCTTTTACCCGCGGCTTCGCTCGCGTCACAAAAGGATAAAAATACCAATACACACAGCGCCATCTATACCAATTCTTTTGTTTTCCCTCGGGAATACCAAAATTTTCCGGGATAAAAAGTACCCTATTATTTAATCCGGTCTTCTAATTTTACATCTGCAAAAATTCAAAGCAATTAGCGGTTTAGAAGTTATTGCGTGAAAGCGGAACAAACAAACAAACTCACTTCCCCATTTATAATCCACTAGCGACCCGCCCCGGCTTCGCACGGGTGCAATATGCATTTATTATACATACAAACCTTCCTTAAGAATCACTCTATCTATTAAAAAAAACCGCGTCAAAATCCGTTGCGTAGTTTTAAAGATCTAAGCATACATACGGACATACAGCGAAAGCGACTTTGTTTTATACTATGTATTGATTGTAAGGATGTTTGTGCGCAATTATCTAGCGATTAGCTGAACCGATTATGATTCAGTTTTTAGAAAAGTGTTTATTACACTTTGGAAAGGGTTTTGATACGTTAATTAACCTCAAGAAAGAGAGAGAGACTTCAAGAAAGAGGGACTTGAAGTCGGTTTTTTTTAACAAAAATGAAATGATTATTATATACATTGACATTATCTAGAAGCCTTAAGGCGAGAGGATTAGATTGTTTAGAAAAATGAGAACTTATTCATAGTTTAGGTTTTCGAATTTTCGGTAATAATCACGGAGTGTGAAATTGAAGTTGTGCACGAGAAAGATTGTATTTTGTGCCTTATTACGACGTAATTTCTTAATAGTACATAAGGTCGATGAGATATGTTTTTTTTTCTTCCTTTGGCAACCGAGTCTCCAATACAATGTTGTCGACTATACTGGAGATAATATGTTTATCTTAAACAATAACATACATAAACTTGTCACAAATTAATTTCTTCTTTCTTTTATAATACCTACATGATTTGATCTTGACAAGATGACGCTAGTGTTGACAATGGGGGGTGCGGTGCCAGAAGACCTCCCCGTGGTGCACCCTGGGTGCGGGCGACAGTCTCCCTAGCGGGGGTGATAGGGTTGGAGTGACTGTCGCCCGCAGCAGACTTCTGGACTGGGCGGGCGAACCCGATAGGGTTCTGGAGGCGGCGGGCTGTGTGCTCATGGCCCGCGCTTCCGTGGGGCGTTTCTCCGCCTGTCTCTCTGAACTTAGCAGAGAGCGTGGCGGAGGGGCAAGGGCGGTGCTCGTTGTGCACTCACCCTGCCAGCGAGCAGCATCGGGACACAAGCTGTCCCCGATTGCAGCCGTCGATATCGTAATCCGTAAGGAGGTCACGGTCATGTTTTGTGACTCTGAACGGGACGAGGGTCTTGGCTTGGTCGCCCGGGCCGCGAGGAAGATAACCTCTATAAAAAATTCCTCTAATACTAAGTTCTGGTGCGCGGCGAGAGTATGCATGGCTGAGGAGTAGTGTCAGTCGCGAGCGCACCCCCAGCTAGGGGACCAGTGGAACCTCTAGTTGGGAAACAAATTAACACTTACCCAGGTACAGGGGGCACTGCCTGGGTGGACCGAATATTTCCCCCATACTCGTGGGAACTTTATGGAGAAAGTCAAAACAAAAAAAAACCACATTTGGAGGAGGAGAGTGCGGGTGAGCTTGGCTCGCCTGCAGTAAGGAGAAGGGAGCCCAAGTGGCTCCGGGACTCGTGGTGAGGCGCTGGACTCGTCCAGCAGGCCCCACACACGGGAGTCTAGTCGGAGGGGGTCGGACTCAGAGTCCGACACAACATTGGCGGAGCGGCTGAGCGTGAGCTCGAAAGGCTCACGCCGCCGCGCGACGGGGACGTTCAAACGCCCCAGGCTGGAGGAGGACAGTTTGTCCCCGTCCTCCGGCGCTCAGGAGGCGCCTCCCCCCAAGGTCCCCACGGCAGCGCGGGGTAGGGGCGGCAAGGGCAGCGGTCGCCGGAAACCGGCACCAGCTGCCTGCGCGGAGTCAGCCGAGCAGCTGGCCGCGGAGGGCAGGGCTCTCTCAAGCGCTGCCCGTTCGGAGTCCTCTGCGGCCGAGATGTCCGGCGTGGAGATGTCGGAGGGCGAGCGCGGCTCTGAGAGCGAGAGCTGCTCCGGGGGCCTCGAACAGGCCATTACGGCGGAGCTCTACAAGCTGGCGATGGGGAAATCCCAGCCGGTTAGGCTCCGCCTCCTCAAGGCGGCGGCGGCCACCATTACGGAGGCGGCCTTGGAGCAACGTGCGGTGCCCACTGCGGGAAACGTGCGCTCTGAGCTGGCCGAGATGCGGCGAGAGCTGGCGCGCTTGGCGGCCTCTAACGCGGCTCTGGAGGCCGAGCTGCGGACGGCCAGGGCCGAGCTCGCCGCTGCTCGCGGCAGTCGCCCCCAGCCCCCGGCGGAGGCCGACGTAGTCGGACTGCTGCGGGCGGAGATGGCTGCCTTCCAGCGACGTTTCGACGTGCTGGAGGGTAGGCTCTTGCGGCCCCCGCTCGCGACGAGTCAGGTCGCCCCCGCGGTCCCGCGGTCGTACGCGGCCGCTGCGGCCAAGCCTTCGACCTCGGGTCAGGCTAGCCGCAGCTCCCAACCGCCGGCAAAGGCGCGACCGGCTGCCCCAGCGAGGGCCTCGGCGCCCCCGCCGGCGCAGACCCCGGCTGCGCCGACGGCGCCTGCGCCTGCGCCCGCTGGGCGCAAAAAGAGGAGGGGCACTCCGGCCCGGCAGGCTGGGGTTGCGGCGGCGGCGGCGGAACCCGCCCCGCAAGCAGAGGATGGCGGCGGATGGCAAATCGCCGGCGAGGCGAGGAGAGTCGCCAAGGAGGGCCGGAAGCGCCGAAAAAAGGCGCAGCGGCAACGACGGCAGCAGCAGCGCAGGGAGAAACGCGCTGCTGCCCTGCTCCTCGCCCCTAAGACCGCGGCTGTGGTCATCACCCTACAGCCTGAAGCGGTCAATAGGGGCGTCACATATGGCGACGTCCTCGCCAAATTAAAGGGGGCGGTGACTCCTGCGGAGTTCGGGGCCCCGGACGGGTTCGCGGTCAAGGTGACCGCTACCGGAGCCCGTCTTTTGGAGGTCCCCGGCGCGACCAGCGGCCCATCGGCCGACGCCCTGGCCGAGAGGCTTAGGGCGTGCCTCGGTGCGGACGAGGCCCGCGTGTCCAGGCCCACCAAATGCCTGGATGTCAGGATTTTGGGCCTGGACGACTCCGTCACGGAGAGTGAGGTGGTGGCCGCTGTGGCCAGGACGGGAGGGTGCCCTGCTGACCAGGTCAGGGTGGGCACCATACGTCCGGACAACTCGGGGCTGCGCACGGTGGTGGTGAGCTGCCCCGTCACAGCGGCCAAAACATTAAAGGAGGGCAAAAGGCTCTTAGTGGGATGGGTCTCGGCGCAGGTCAAGCTGCTCGAGACCCGGCCTCTGAGGTGCTACCGCTGTCACGTGGGGGAGCACGTGAGTGTCAAATGCACCTCGGAGGTGGACCGCAGCGACTGTTGCTTCCGCTGCGGTCGGCCCGGTCACAAGGCCGGCTCGTGCAACGCCCCGCTGCACTGCAACGCATGTGCAGCGGCTGGCAAGCCGGCCAATCACCGGGTCGGGAGCAAGGGCTGCTCCCCTCCTGCTAAAAAGGGCAAAGGTAGGCCCTCCGCCGCCCCTGCCGTTTCCGCCGCCGCCGCCGCCACTGCCACCGCAGTCGCCGCTGCCGCCACTGAGGAGGTCGGAATGGACTGTCAATAGTGGCTCCATTCCGCCTCCTCCAGGCGAACATCAACCACTGCGCCGCTGCTCAGGATCTCCTGCTCCAGAGCATGGCGCAGTGGTCGATCAATGTCGCCGTGGTCTCCGAGCCGTATTTTGTCCTGCCCAGGGATCACTGGGTGGCGGACCTGGACGGCTCGGTGACCATCATCTCGTCGGCCGCCGCCGGTACCCCGACTCTTGAGGCTGCTCAAAGAGGCCGGGGTTGTGTCGCAGCACGGTTCGGAGAGCTCGCTGTGGTGGGCGTGTACTTCTCTCCGAACCGAACTCTCGCCGAGTTCCACAACTCCTTGAGGGAGTTGGTCACTGTCGTCGTCGGGTTCCGTTCCCTCCCCGTGCTCGTCCTCGGGGACTTCAACGCCAAAAACTTGGCTTGGGGTTCCCGGTTCACCGACGTCCGGGGTAGGATGGTGGAAGACTGGGCCCTTGAGACAGGCCTAGTCGTCCTGAACCGGGGTTCTGTCCCCACGTGTGTGCGGATGCAGGGCGAGTCGGTGGTGGACATATCGTTCGCCAGCCCTGCTCTGTCACCGCGTATTGTTGGCTGGCGCGTCATGGAGGAGGTGGAGACGTACTCCGACCACCGGTATATCCGGTTCGACGTCTCCGCCGAGTCCGCAGACCCGCCGGTCAGACAGGCCCCATGTGGCCCGCGTTGGGCGCTGAAACAGCTGGACCGGGAGCTGCTCCTGGAAGCCGCCATCGTGCAGGCCTGGGTGATACCACCGGTCAGGCCTGCCGACATAGACGATGAGGCCAAGTGGCTCCAGGACGCCATGTCCAGGATCTGTGACGTGGCGATGCCCCGGATCCGGTCGAGGCAACAAAAGCGCCAGGTGTACTGGTGGTCGCAAGAGCTAGCAGCTCTACGCAAGGCGTGCACTGCTGCGCGACGCCAGTACACTAGGCACCGCAGGCGCCGCATCCGTCCTCCTAATGCGGAGGCGAGAGAGGCGGAGTTGTACGAGGGATACAGGGCGGCCAAGGCCCTCCTCAAGGTGGAGATATTGCGGGCCAAGGA